TCCTCATGGATGCCGCTCATTGTTTTGGATTCTTCCCCTTTTAATGCCACCTCTCCTCTTAGGGCTTATTTGTCTATTCTTACCCTGCCTAATTAAACTCTTTCAAATATTTCTCACAAATAGGAGCATGTACCAGGCACGTCAAAGCAATTCTTCTCCTTGAGTCCAAGCAATACCCTGATCACCACTGCTGGTCAACATGCAGCAGCCACAAAGAACACGAATCCCATTTTCCTTTATCCAAATGCAGAGTTAAGAAGGAAGGATCCGGACCACCACAGTTTTCACCAGGTCACAAGCTCCCGCCATTTTAGGACCTCCCCTCCTTTCAATTCTCCTTTCCCAGAGAGGGTGGCACAGGGCAACAAGGCCCAGTCAGCCCTGCCTTGGGAAAAGCAAACACAAGCAGAACAGTCCACGGACCACAGCCTGAAAAATACCCGGCTCAGAGACGCTGCAAGCTCCTCTTGGAACCCTACAGAACCCCACGGCCTGCAAGAAGCGGTACCGTTCTGGTCTAGTTGTCAATGGTACCTCTCAGGTTTTACCTCCAATAAAACCCATCCTTCACTATGTTACAAAATTCCTTTTTCTTGATCCTTCTACTTCTCATGCTTTTTGATAATAAGAAACATGACAAACATGAGAATGCATCCTAACTGAATCCACTGTGGGAGGTAAAAAGAGGAAAATGAAAATCTGAAGGAAGAAATTCAAACAATGATGAGCAAAATCAGAAATCTGATGAGCAAGTTCAGAAAAATGACAAAGACCATAATCTTCGGTTCCAGGAACCACCAGCAGCTCCTCTCCAAATCCAGCTTAGAAAAAGACTGAAGAACAATGTACATGTGAAGACCTGCTCACTTGCCCACCGCTGGAAAAATAAAACATCATCCAAGCTCCAGAGATGCCTCCCATGCCCCTGGAAGATGAACTGGAACCCCCACATGACGGTCTCTTACCTGAGTATTCTTGCTTAAACTGTGCCATCCCCCACCTGCCTATGTCAGAGGCAGCAAAGTTAGGTAGAAATAGATATACAGTCTGAGAGGGATCGGCTCTCAAGGAAGTTGGCAGAAAAATAAAAACATCAAAATTGTAGATGGAGGCTCATCTGAAAGAGACCAGACCTCAAAGCAGAGATGCAATGGACAGAACTGCATGCCTCCCTGAGGCACAAAAAATACCTTGGAGGTATTCTGTAATCAGCACCTCCTGGTCCAGTGGGTCCAGTAAGTAAGTATGAGTTTCCCAGGTGGTGGCCAGAGCATCCGGACCCAACCCTCTCCAAACACAACTTTGTTCATTCCATGTATCCTTGCTGTGTGACTTGTTTCTCTATTAGATCAATATTAGCTAGGCAATTATATTTTTAATTGATTACAGTTGAACTCACATTATATCCACATTGTGAATTTCCCATGACAAAAGGCCTTAGTAGAGTCCCACTGAAGACATCCTCCTGTCTCTTAGGAGCTATTTCTCAATAAATCTTTCCTGCTCTTAACTTCCATTATTCCTTAAAATTCATTCTCTGATTTCAGGGGGCACAAACTTGGCACATCTGACATCTAGCCAATGAGAGTTTTGTTTCACTGATGTCACCTACAACCTCTGTTGTTTCCCCTCGAGGCCAGGTCTTTCTCTGTAGACCAGGTGGGCCTGGAACTCGCAGTCTCCTTCCTCAGCCTCCCAAGTGGTGAGATCATAGGTGTGTGCCCCTGTGTCTGTATCTCTACTACTTCCTCCACAAGCTTTCACATCGGAAGGCGTCTCCCAGGTTAGCCCTGCTCTGCTCTCCACTCCCAGGCTGGCTGCGAGAAGTCCCCATTACGTCCTCTCGGGACATTATTAGTGAGTTCTGCTACACTTACACCCCGTCCTCTACTAGTCTCTTGAGTGTTAGCTCTTCAAAAGACCTCTAAATTCCCTGTGACACAGATTGTCTTAGATGCCACAACAAAAGGGAGCCACCCCCATGGAATTCATGCTTCTGCCAACAAGAGAAATAGTTTTTATCCTGCATGTCTATGCACACAGTGATTTGAAAACACAGGAATTAATCCTGCAGTCTTCTGCCCTTTTCCTCTTTCCCATCTTCCATTCTACCCGGGTTCCAACACTGCCATAGTAACCAACAGTCACAGAGCACACACGTGTTCTCTTCATCAAAGAGACTCACAACTCAGAAGCATTCCTCACATTACCGGTTCACGACTGAAGACTTTCAGAGCTTATCTAGCAGGTAGGCAGCCATCTGGGCAGGGCACCGAAGCCTGGCAATGTGTGTGGTTCTGTACCACTATCTAATAGCCAGAGCCTCGTGGGAAAAGGTAGGCTAATTATGCCATTAGCTGTGGGATGGTGACCCTGTAAATGGATATAAGCTTTCTGGAAAGCAATGTGGTATGGACTCTCCTAAGTCTCCAAACATACTGTATGTCTGAACTTACATCCAAAGGTCCCACAACAGAAATACAGTGACAGACAGGGCCTGAAATTAATGGGCACAAGAAAGGGTTCCCCCACATGCCCACTACTTCTCATTTGTGTTCTTTGGTTTTGTTTTGCGCCCAGGTCTCCCTACACTGTCTAGGCAGGCCTGAAATCGCAATCCTTCTTCCCCAGCCCCTGGAGAGCTGAGATTATAGGCATGTCTCGAGCCAAGACGTCAGGATCCTGCCAGCAGGTCCTAAACCTGAAAAGACGAGGACAGAGAGACGGGAGGCACTTTTCTTCTCATGTTACTTGCTGCACTGCTTTATTACCTAACCTCTCCTTTTATACTCTCCAGCTGTGAGGCTGTTAGAGAGCTCCACCCACACATTCCAGAAGGAAACCGTTAAACCTTTACATTTGCACCAGTAAACCTTTCAACAGATCAGACCACCAGTTGAACTAGCCCATTGCTATGGGCGACGGCATGTCCACACTGCTCGGGTGAATCGCAGGTCAATATGGCTGTGCTCTCCATAATTCCCCCGTTTCTCTTATGTCAGTGAGCCTCTGCAGAGGGTGCCAGACATATATATGTCAAAGAGCTCCTGTCTTAGGTGGCAGGGATGTCCTTTCTCCTTACCCGTCATCAGCGAAGAGGGCTTATGTCCCTCTTGCCTGTCTTAGGTTGGTAGAAAGGAGGCCCTGACCTTACCCATCTCTGGATGCTCCACAGAGAGGGAATTACGTACGGTGGGCTTGTGCCAAATAGATGGCCACCCGAGATGCATCATCCTCTACTGAAGCTTGTACAGCCATAGCAAGTCGAAACACAAAAGATTGATACATTTTTGTCATCTTGCGATACATATAACAATTACAAATACAAAGAGTTACAATGATCATCAATACAGGAGTGACTATTACAGAAAAATACTGTTTAGCGGTAGTACTGAAATGTTGGTTTGAGGAAAACGTGAATCTGTTTACCAAAGTCCTGCAGAGAAGCTTAAGTCCATGGAATATTCGAGTGACCAGACTAAAAACTTTTGAGATGTCTCATTAAATCACCAGTCCCATTAAATCCTTGTTCTGGATAATAAAGTTTCTGCTTGTGCACGAGACACATCCTGGAGTTTTTTCTGCTGCTTCAGTGTTGGGGTCCCAATCCAGTCTCCTCAGTGGAAACCCAGATTCAAGCTGTTCAGGGATAGTGGTAGGTCTGTAAATATACCTGTAACCATAAGTAGGTGGAGCAGAAGAGAAGGGAGAATACCTGGACCAAAAGGTTATTCTCATAAACAATGTGCTGGAAAACCTGCATGGTCAAAAAATATAAATACATTTTGTATACCAGACATGAATTCTTATGTCCTGAAATGTAGCTTTGTATCAACAGGATCTTCCTCTTTTTTTTTTACAGAAAATATTATATTTTAAAGATAACCATCACAAACATGTTACAATAACATATTTTTAACAACATATTTAACAAGGCATATCTTTTTTATAAGGCTATGAAAATTATTTTGGTGGCTCCCATTAGTGAACAAAGATCAGAATAAATTTTCTGAGCAGCTGCTTCTTTATTTACCAACAGGAGCGTATTCAAACTCTGTGTGTGGTGTGTGTCTGTGTGTGTGGTGTGTGTGTGTGTGTGTGTGTGTGTGTGTGTGTCCACATACTCTTCATTTCTTAAGTACATGACTCTGCTCTTCTCCCCAATGTCTTTTCTTCATTTTCTTCTGAAGACTCGGGACTTGACAGAGACAGAATATATAACCCTATAATATGATGGCAACCCCAAACCCCAGCAGTGAGTGCTCGGACTCAGAGCAGCCCAACCTGAAAGTAAATTCCGTGGAGAGACTTGCAGGGGATGATCTCCCTGCTTCTCACACCGTCCATCAAGATCCCGGCACCACCTTCCAACGTCACCCCTGTAGGGAAGAGACAACCACCTTCTATGAAGGCTGTGTTGCAGGTTCTACAATGGACAACATCCCCACTGTGGAAGAACTGGAGGACCCACAACATCTAGGAAGATTCACGGATAGAGAATATGACCTCGAGGACAACCCCAAGCCGACGAATGGAACAAGCACAGACTTGGAAGACCATGCAGACACAGTCTCGGGTGAGGGTGCAGGAGCTGAGAAAGCGGTCACTGACAGTGACCAGAAGATATATCAAAACCCAGGATTCATAGGACAATGCACTGACCCCATAGATGGCTGGCCCGAATTCGCTGGTCCTGAACCCACGGAGGAAGTAGCAACAGAAGATACTTGTTGCGAGCCGCGACGTCAGGATCCTGCCAGCAGGTCCTAAACCTGAAAGGACGAGGACAGAGAGATGGGAGGCAATTATCTTCTCATGTTCCTTGCTAACGCTTTATTACCGAACCTCTCCTTTTATACTCTCCGGCTGTGCGGCTGTTAGAGAGCTCCGCCCACACATTCCGGAAGGAAACCGTTAAACCGTTACATTTGCCAGTAAACCGTTCAACAGATCAGACCACCAGTAAACCGTTCAACAGCTCAGGTGAATCACAGGTCAATATGGCTGTGCTCTCCATAGATACTAAGGATGCGGAGGGAAAGGCAGAAATCAAAAGCAGCCAGGATGAGCATCAGGAAGATGATGAACTACTTGCAAACTGCGAAAACCAAGATGGAAAGGTGCTGATGGAGTCAAGTGAACAAGAAGAAAATGACACAGAGATTGACAACAAGAAAGAAATCCAGGGTCATGAAGAAGAGCATGCCGAGCTTGGTGAGCAAATCCAGGTGTCTGAAAGATCTGATGACGCCGGGCTACCTGATCCCAAAGACGACGATGAAAAACAGAGCAGTGAGATCCCAGAGAAGAAACAAACACAGAGCCACAAAGACGCTCAGGACGCTGAAACACAAAACCACGACTCTGGCAAAGACGACGCCCTCCAGATCCGAGCACCACCTGAGGAAAACCTCCAGCTGGGCAGCAGCTGCTCTCCTCCTCCCGCTCGGGTCCCACCTGAGGACCTGCCCGAGTGCAAACCCCCAGAGAATCCCGAACTCGCAGAAGTCCTCCAGATGCCGGCAGGGCTCCCAGAAGGTGAACCTGCGGAGGTGAGCACAGAGCTGCCTCCCAGGAGAGGTCGAGACGGGCCCAGCAGAGGCGCCAGGTTGGACAGCGTGGGGCAACACTGTCTTCTGTACAGCAGGGCTGGACCCCGGGTGTCTGACAGGATGTGCAGGGGAGGAGGGCAGGAAGGGAAGGAGCCAGGGAGGAGATGTAGAGAAAACACCAAGGAGCGCTGAGACAGATGGAGACTAGGAAGACAAGGGTGAATCGTTATGCCAACAAACAAGCAAGCAAAAAACAGTTTTTTGATGGCCTGTGTGCTCCAGTGTTGATTTTGGAACTGGCCGTTACAGGTGCGCTATTTCTAGTCAAAGGAACTGAGTTCCATAACTGAGGAAGCACTGGCTGCACTGCCGGGGGTTACACTTGTCTCACTCGTGCTCCTCTTCTCGGCAGAAACTGAAGACCAGCAGCCAGGGGTCCCCCTCGGTCTCCTCGGGGGAGTTACACAAGGACGACAACGGATCTGACCCACAGACCACATGCGTCCACTGGAGGCAGGCCTTCCGCTGGGCCCGGAAACGAGTCCTGGCATGCTTGGGGAGCAGAGGGGCGGTCAGGAGCACACGAGTCACCCCCGTCAGGAAAAGTCGGCCCAGCCCCGTAGAAACCCAGCCCGAAGAAACCCTCGCTGCCCTAAGCACCGACCCGGTGCGATGGCCCCACTTATAGTGGTATAGCTTTATTATTTTTAATAAAATAAGCTTTCTTGTTCTCCGTGTCTGCTTCCTCCAGCACATCTCGATGCAGGCCGAAAGGAGCCATGCTGTGTAGCGGGCAGCCGGTGCCTCCTGGAGCGAAGGTGGCTGCTGCTCTCCTTCCTCCCTGCTGCCCAGGTTTTCCTCAGTCTCAACTTCAGCCACTTCAGGGATTCATCCTGCTTGGTCACTACGTCACGTCCCCAGGTTTAGAAAGCACCAGCACAACCATCAGACCTCACCAGGGTGCTCTCTGGTGATTTCCCAGGGCCTGAGCAAGCGGCCGTGCAGATCCGGTCACTCAGGAAGCTGACTCCAGTGGACAGATTTTGGGGCGTGCAGAAAGCAGTTCTCATGGTCTCGGGGCACCAGGCCGCTTCTGGCATCTTGGTGACTCCCAAAAGCAACAGAGATCTTCATCCATTTCTCCTTAAGGTGAACGGGGAGAAAGTCTTGGTGGCAAGGGGTGGTGGTGGCATGAGACACTCAGAGCCACTATAGGGAAGGCGACAGCCTCAATCCTGGTCCCTTAATCCGTGGCTCAGGGGTTGTGTTTACTCTGAGGCACACAGGGACTCAAAGGCTCCTATGGCCAAAACAACACAGTAAACAAGCTCTTGGGCCTTACAGATGTCAAACTATTTATTGCTTACATAAAAATATCCCTGTTTCCTCCCCTAATTTTTGTTACTTTCCATACATAACAGATATGAACAACAAAATATGACGCAAACTTATTAATAAAGAAATCTCAGCTGTGCTCAGTAAGACACTCCTGCAACTCCAGCTACTCTGGAGGACAAGGCAGGGGCATCCAAGTCCAAGGCAAATCAGTGACAGCCTCTCTGTGATCAAAAGAGAAAATGGGGTGGGGATAGAGCTCAGTGGTAGGGCGAGGTCTCTGGCTTAGTTCCTCTACACACACACACACACAAAGTTGTGGGCTCGAGGAACAAGGTCCGGAATGACCAAGCAGACTCCAGGGAGTTTTCTGGAACTCTTCCGCTTTATTCAGGAAGTGCACAGGCTTATATAGGATAAGGCGGGGTGGAGCCAGGATGGTGCTATTGGATCGCTATTGGATAGGGTAAGGCAGGGGCGGAACCAGGGTGGAGTCGGGATATTTGGCACATGTTATTGGCCACATGTTAGTTTTAGGATTGTACGTTTTAGGGGCTGAGGCGAATATAGTCAGGACTTTAGAAATTTTTGAGAGGAACAGTTTATCTGTCTAAAGTCAGATCTCTACACACCCGAGGGGGGGCGGATTTTTCCAGCTCTAGTAGGCCTCGGAGTTTTCTCAGGAGAGATGGGCATTCCTGACTCAGCCAGACATTAACCTGATACACACACACACACACACACACACACACACACACACACACACACAGTAACTGCTGTAGCCTACGGGAGAGTTTAGAATTCATTTTCCTACCTTATGCCAGGTGGGCAGTGGTTTTGTTGGCTTGGGAGACTATCACTGGATGGATGTAGAAACATTTATTTTCACTGTTCTGGAGCCTGGAATTCCATACATTGGAAGCCAACCTGGACTACATGGTAATACTCTGCCTCAAAACAAACAAAATGTTCTTTTTCTGGATTTTTTTTTTTTTAATCCTAGGTATTGAACCCAAGGGCCTCTACCACTGAGCATATTATACAACACTTTAAAAGCTTAGTTAAAGGGATGCTTTGGGAGGTTCAGAACTCATTACAGGTATTCCCATTATTTCTTATGGGAAAAATAGTCTTGACTTACAACCAACTTGAGATATAATTAGCCCTTATGAATGAATTGAGTTCGATGTCACTGTATTTGGAATTCAGATGCACCAGGCTCTACAATGCTGGGGCCCTCTAATGGTGAGGCTGAAATGTGCCTGAGGGAAAGAAGCCACCATGAGTCAGTCTTGGAGAGGCAATTTAGGGTCAGTTTGAATGACGAAGACAAACAGGACCGGTTCCTTGCTATTTGTTCCATTTATCATCCCAATTCCCGCTGCTACAGGCCCTTTAGGTTCACAGATGCCTTTGCTCACTGGTGGGCCATGTATTAAAGTAAGAAGGAAAAAAGGATTTATTCAAAGGGAGGTCCAAGGGGGTGGAGGTGCCCATTTGCCTCAAAGCATCACCTCATCACGTACAGATGTGTAAGGAAGAGAGCAGAGGAGAGGGGAGCAGAGCGATGGTGCACACCCTACACCTGCTGTATCCCTTCCAGCCTTTTCAGTTCATTCTCTCATCTCTTGTGGAAGGGAAACCGGGCCCCAGCTTCCTGGAGCTAGCATCTTTATATTCTGCCAATTCTTTGGGACAGGGGAAAAGAGGGAGCATTGGTTACATGCTCAGCAAGGAAGTTTGGAGAAGCCTCTTATCTCTAAAAGGAAAACCAATCTAACTTTAAATTTCCATTTTATGGGACCTTCTGGTCATCACTGTAACCACAAAACCAGATACCAGACCAAGAAGGTGGTCTACATTGTGGGGTGGCATCAAGAACTGGTCAGGTAAAGAGCTGCACAACACCTGTATGCATGCCTGCACACTGAGTTTGTTTCAGATGTTCTCGAGGAAGACATTAACGCTTACAAAACTAAGTTTTAATTTTACAACTGAAAAGATTTGAGATATAATTACATTCTATATTAATTTTTAGTAGAAACAAAGAGTAAATGAAATGTGACTCTTTTTAGAGCACAGTTTTGAGCCAGTCACATGATGGCGAGGTGTGACAATGGTCACGTGATGTTTGATGAGAGCATAGAGGATGTGTCTGCAAAAGCATTCAGTGGGCTCATCAGAGTTCTCAAGGACTCCTCTCGCATTTTGATGTCCAAATCTCTCCTCAGAGGGTAAGGAATCCATCACGACAAAATCCTTACCCCTATTTCTCCAGTCAAGCGGAGCAGTTCTCTGGGTCTGACTTCAACAGTGACTCCAGCAAGGTTTCAGCACCACTTTTGCCAAATACCTGCCTTTTGGCAAACCTGTAGTTTTACTCTGCAATTTTATCAGAGGGATGGGCAAGGGGACTCTAATTGTATAAGCGATGGGTGCATGGGTGAATATTTTCCTATATAGCAGCTTTTTTGTTTCAAAGAAGTGAACTTACAGAAATTGTTCAGAGATAATTCATAGAAATAGAGACCCCTCCACCGCAACTACGGAGTTGATCAGGCAGTACCTCAAAGTGCAGATGTAGACTCTCAGTCCTCTCCCTTACAGCATTGCCCTCCTCTGCCTCATTCAACTCCCCAGCCCAATCAGACACCCTTAGAAACTAGAGGGTAATGTCTAGTGATTATGTTGAAGTCCCAGATGGAGCAAGGTGTGAGACTGGATCAAGTTGAGTGTTGATCTGGTTATCCTTTGCCTTGGGCTGTTACTGGTGTGATGAGAGTTATGCATTGGTCCCAAAAGTATGAATAACAGAGGAGCTTTCCAGAGCCTTCACATTATCATTTTAGTGGGGGAAAAGGCATTTGAAAGAAGCAAAAGGGGCATCATTGTTGATATGGTGTATGCCTTAATTACTAAGAACATTTTCTGAATCAAGATTTAATGAATGTTAGTTGCCTTCATTTTCCTTTGGGGAATGGAAGTTTACATTTTAATCTTCATTAAGGCTCTTACAAATTGTTGATTTTTACCTTCTGAGGTAGCTTTTATTTATGTTAGCAGCTTTTATCCCTTCTTAGGCCCTTTTATTTTTTCTCTTGATGTATGTGTGTGTGTGTGTGCACACACACATGTGCGAGCATGCACACCCTTGTAAGCACGAGTGCTTGGGATGGAACCAAGAGCCTCATGCATACCAAACACATGCTCTAGTGCTCAGCTTCACACCCAGCCCAGGAACTGAATCCTTTCCAAGACCAGGTCCTCTGTGACTCTATCTCAGTGCCATGGAGTACTCAGTAGGCAGCAAAAATAGCTTAAATCCTTTGCATGTTTTTCAAAAGGATTCAACTAAGCAATGTAACCTTATGAATATCTTTCTTTCCTTCCTACCGTCTTCCATTATTTTCTGCAACTACAGAGATTTCCTTCTCTTAACTCCTCCTGAACAAAAGACTCAGAAAGTAAACATTACAATCTATTTATATGTTAAAGTATGATTCAATACAAAGTGTCAGTTAAATCCCCTCCCCCAAAGAGTCCCTGGACAAAATTATTTCCAACTTTAGTCTTTATAGTTTTACTTTCCTCTATCACTTATCTGTTATTTAATTCACTTCACATGTTATATCTAAGGCCTATCCCTTTTCCTCCAGCACCCAGCTTGTATTTCCACTGTGCTCTCAACTTTTGCATAATAAAAATCCAAGTGTGTTGTAAAGTGTTTGCCTAGCATGTGTAAGGCCCCGGGAGGTGATTTCTGAAAGTGGAGAAGAGACTAACAAGAAAAAAAATCAAATTCTTCTTGGATGAAATCGGGCTTGATTAGAAGGCTGGGGATGATTAAGAGTTAATAACCGTTGTCACATCTAAGCCTATACCAAATGTATAAAAGTAATCCGTAATTACTGACCGAAAAAGTCTTTGTAGATTGTTGTCTTTGTTCCTGTTGCAGGATGGATTGGTCACTTTCCTAGCACCGGAACGAAAATACCTGGCGCCCACAGCTTACAGGAGGGAGACTTACTTTGGCTTCACAGATTCAGGGGCTTCGATCTACGGTCAGCTGACTCTAAGCAGAAGGCAGAAAGATCATGGCAGAGCAAAGCTGTTCACCTCATGGGAGCCTGGAGGCAGAGAGAGAAGAGAGGGAGTAGGGGGAGGCAGAGAGAGAAGAGAGGGAGTAGGGACAAGAATATGTCCTTCCAGGTCACACCCCCAGGGACTGCTTCCAACCAGGTCTCCCCTCCTAACACAATTCCTCGGTGGAGAACCCACCAATGCGTACAGAGCCCCGTGACCCAGTCACGCTCTAAACACACGAGATAGAGCTAAACCATAGCGGACAGAGCGAAGAGTAACCTACAGGGTGCATATTGAGGAAGAATCAGTACCGAGGCTGGGGATTTAGCTCCGTGATACTGCACCACAAGCACAGAGTGCAGAGTTCTATTCCCAGTACAAAAAAAAAAAAAATAAATAAAATAAAATAAAAAATAAAATCAGTTCATATAAAAATTCAGAGTTTCAGGCCGGGGATTTAGCTCAGCGGTTCGGCGGCCTGCCTTGCAAGCACAAGGAACTGAGTTCAAACCCCAGTACCAAAAGAAAAAAAAAAAAAGTTAAAAAAAATTCAGTTTCCCTCTGCTTGACTCAACTCTGATCCCTTCCTGTGGATGAAACAATGAAACTTTCCGCATTCTGCATCGTGACTTCTCACATAGGAGGGTGTACGTGCTTGCAGAGAGACCTCGTCCAATGCCCTTGACCTGCCACCACGAAGACCACGTCACTACTGCACAATGTCGGGGAAGGACTCGAAGAGGTTATTTCATCTGCCCTGATCCCTACCCTTTATTTTTAAGGTAAGATATTGGAGGAAGGTCCAGAAAGATCATGATGTTCCCACAGCCGATTAAAATATTTGCATTTAGATTCTTATCCCCTAGAACACACCCCAGACGTGCAAGTCTCTCCTCACGATGACCACCAGAAGGTGCCAGAGAGGAGCTGGGAGCTGAAAGTCAGCAGCTGTAGGGACCTTCTCTTTCCGGAACATACAGTAGTTGCTGTCTGCTCCAGGCGCACTCTGTGCCTGTCAGAGGTGCTGGTCGGTCAAGGAGGTATCCCCACAGGGCCTGACAGCCCCAGGGCTCCTGCTCCTACACCAGGGAGGAAGGCTGCACTCACCTCCTGCCCGGACCCCTTCACAAATGCACCAACTTCCTCAGGAGGCCAATCACCATGCTTGTCTTTTAAGAAAGGGGAAGGAAAACTGGAAATTCAAGAAGTAGGTCTTTATCCAAATTGGTCAGTGCTTCATAAAGAAAACGGCAGCCCACAAGAAATTTTGAGAATGTTTCCCTCCTCCCCAGAGAAGCTTACTGCATTGTTCAGTATTCTTTAATTTCATACCACTTCCCTAAACCAAATATTAAATTTCCCCCTTGAAGTGAGAGTAATAAATCACCGAGGAGAGAATTGGCAGTTCTTATTAAGGAAAAACAACCTGAGGTAAACATTAGCACAGACACAGTCTCCCTTGTATTTCCACCCTATGAGCAGTATGGAGCATATACTCTCCAATTTCCAAAAATCCTATTTAATAAATAAAAGAACTTAATGAAATATCTAGCTTCCTGCCATCTGATTAACCTCATCGTACATGTCCAATTACTTTTGCATATGTGGTTTGAAAATATGCTTAAAACAGGTCACGGTGTAATTCCAAAAACAAAGGAGATGCTACAGTTTGGCTTTTAATTGTCCCCAAAGGCCTGTGGGTTAAAGGCTGTGTCCCCATTGTGGCGGGGTTGGGGAGGATTTGTAGTCACTGGGCGCATGCTCTTGAAGGGGACTCGGGCACTGGCCCTCTGCTTCCTCTGTCTTCACTTCCCTGAGGAACAGCTTTGCGATGTCAAGGATGTGCTGGCTTCTTGTGGGCCAAGAGAGATGACTGCGGACTGTGGGGTGAGACCTCCAATACTGAATCGAAACTTTCCTCTTCTTTTAGGTTGATGACCTCAGCTCACACTGGAAAGAATGGAAAAACACGGGTCTATTTTAAGGGGATATTTATGTCAAAGATGGCGGAGACTTTCTCCATAGGGTCATTTTAACAGCCTAGTGAGAGGTATTTTGGGGGTAAACGTAAGATATTTACATGAATGAAGTGTAACTCTTCAAAGCAAATCGAAGTGAGTAGGTTTATTTTCTTGGTCCATACTTGTTTCACCATCCCTGAGCCGTTAGCAGGTGGTGCTGAGGCTGAGTTCCTGGCTGTCTGTCGGGAGGGCTCCACTCCAAGGGCCCGGGTGGCCCCAGGGACATCTGCTTCCTTCAGGGAGGCGGAGTGCGGCAGCTGTCTGGTCAGAGGAACAGGGTCAGTCACTCGGGACTTCTCAGAAGCCCTGGTGGGGGTCTCACTGCGGTCAGTGGGGTGAAGTTAGGCTCCCGCGTGGGTCACCTCCCCGAGTGGGGGGCCCGGAGGAGCAGAGCGAATGCAGAGGACCAGTAAGTCCGCCCAGAGAGGAAGACCCAAGTGGATTTCCTGGAGTAAAAGCCAGATGTGAAAAAATGGAAACAAAGTCTTTGTAAATAGGAAAGCGTGAAAGGGGTTCAGGGAGGGCTGGGGAGTGGGGAAAAGACAAGAACCAAGATACATCACGAACAGATCCAAGATCCCTACGATGAATGCAGCTGCATTGTTTGCTTTAAATGTACCAATAAACTTAATGGAAAGAAAAGAGTAAACCAGGGCTAGGACTTCAGAGACCCCAAGGGAGGGCAGGGGCCGGCCAGGAGCGCGGAGGTCGCGGCAGGCAGGTGTCAGCCGGCTGAGGAAGACTAGGAGGAGGGCCCTTCTCAACTCAGGTTTCTTCCGGACTCAGAAGACAGACGCGCATAAAGCTGTTTAAACGGAAAACGGGGACTTTGTACCAGGAGGAGCGCGGGACGGTCTGGTTTTGAGACGCACCCCGCCGCGTGGACTCCGAGGCCCGCCCTCGCTGAGCGTCTCACCGGACGGAGCTCATTCTCCAGCTCCAAACTTACTCCCTGAAGAGAGGGCCCTTCCCATGGCTCCCTGCTACGCCTCAGGGGCCTCTCCGCCTGGGCACGACTTCTGCGTACGAGGAATAGAGAAGCGGGAGGTTAGGGACTCGCTTTGAAGTCCCGCTGCCGGATTTCACTCTTCCACTTTTTAGAGGAAAAGCTCCTGCCCTAACCTCTCTTGCTTTACTTTTTACTTGTAAAAGGGAAGGTGGCGGCGGTGCCACCTTCAGTGTAATTATTCGAAGAGTGCAGTGCGTAAATACAGGTGAAGGACTTCAACGTGCCTGGAACATAGTAGAAAATTGCATAAAGTTTAGATTTTTTTCCCCCACTAAAATTCATGGTAGGTAGCTTGGGTCATAGAAAACTCACTGTACCCTGATGTACATTTTCAGTTGCAAACTGGGAATATGCATGCTTTCTTCACTTCTGTAAGCTACTAAAAAGTTCAACAGTTTTAGAAGAGCGAAATCAATCTTGGACGGAAATGGGAAACTAGAATGATTCTGGACAGTGGCTGCACCTGACACCACCAGGGGCGCTTCCAACAGTACCATTCCCAGACCTGGAAGCAAACAGAAGCTCCAGAGTCGGAGGTGCGCCAGAGGAAGTGACCAGTGGGCTGGAGGGGACCGTGTGGAAGAGCAGGGGGCCAGCCACGCCTCCGACAAGGAGGACTCAGATCTAGAACACACATGGAGCCCAGAAAGATTGGACTGCTCCAAACCAAAGACCTAGTTAGAAAATGGACCGCTGAAATGAAGATCCTCTTCAGAAGCAGCACAAATGGCCAATAAATACACGAAAACGCTCGACGTCGCTGGCCATCAGAGAAACACGAATTGAAACAAAACTGAGATTCTGTCCTACTCCAGAAAGAATGGCTACCATTAAGAAACCAAAACTAACAAACGTTGACGAGGCTTTGAGGAAAAGTTATCTGTGGGAAGAAAAATTAGTTCAAGCATTATAGAAATCAGTATGGGATTCCTAAAAAATTAAAAATAGAAATTACACTTGACCCGAAAGAGTTAAAGACACCAAGTTACAGTGCACACCGTGTTTAGAGCAGCACAAGTCATAGCAACCAAATAGTGAGCAGCTGTATGTCCAGCAGCGGGTGAGTGCAGGAAGCGGGGTGGACTGCGGTGGAGTACTACTCTGGCACTAAGAAGGTAAACCTGAGATTTGAGTTATTTGTGGGAAAATGTATGCACAATAATCTTAAGGGAAGTAAATGAGATGCACAAGCTTAACTATCTGTGGTTTTTCTCACATGAGAAATTCAGTATTTAAATAAAGCGCAAAATAAAAAATGATAGCAGGAAATTGGGATATAGACCTTTTGCAAATGGGAAGGGGACCAACAAATTGAAGGAGCACACAGAAAGGGAAGGGGGAAGGGATGAAAAAGGAACTGAAATGTGTTATTTACATGAACTTTTCTGCATAGGGAGTGTGATTATTATGTAGTAAAAAACGGGTATTAATAAAAATAAAACTTGAAAAACAACAAAAGAATGGGAGGTGGAGACTGGGCTGCGGTGCGAGTTGTAAGCCCAGCGCTGTGGGGTGGTGAGGCAGGAGGGCCACAAAGTCAAGCCCCACCTGGGCAATTTGGAGAGACCTTGTTTCAAAAAAAGGATTTTAAGAAGGGCTGATGGTGAAGGCCCTGAGTTCATTACCCAGTACGGGGGGTGGGAGAGTGGCTGTCATCACAGTCTTTTCCAAAGGGCAGAAATGTCATCAAACTCTTTCTTTTATATCTATCAATAGTATTCACCTCACACAAAATTAAGTGTTGTTTAAATTTAATTAATATAAGCAGACCATTCCAACTGAACACATCCGTGGTTTATTTTCAAATTCAACTTTCACACCTCTTCAAATTGTTGGCGAAAGTTTTGGCAACCAATAGATAAATGCCAAATATAATGAAATATTTCTGCAAAGCCTCTAACCTTTTACTACCATTACAGTGAAACTAAATGAAATACTTGGAAGGCAAATTGAATTCATTAGTGATCTGCAGCGCAGCTATCATCATTTCAGATTAAGACATAAAAATAGTATTTCTGTTTTCAAAGCTATTTGGGAATCTGCCCTTGCATGATCAGTTTCACATATTTCTTTTAGAACTTCATTTATTCATCTATTGCCAGTTGTGTAATAAACTACAGTCAAGAACCAGTCACAGGCACTGGGCTATCAACACTAGAAAGTTCAAAGTCTGAAGCCAGACTTAAGATTTCGTTTTTCTCAATGCACCATATATTTTTTCTCTCAATTGCTGATTGTATCATACATTAGTAATTATGTTGATTCTTAAATAGATCCAATATATAAAAATCCAAACTTATAATTCAGGTACATAAAGGACTTGGGGGTGGGGCAGACACACAGAATTTTTTTGAAAAGTGACAATTTCTAGTCTATTTAAGTTATGATTAAATTTTTGAAGATTTTGGTCCAATAAACCAAGAGCTACTTTCAGCTAAGCACACCTCTGCTGGGATCATCGGTGGTGCTACCTTTAGGACAGAAACAAGGTCAGAGGAGTAACCTCAAAGGTAGGCAGAATTTCATTAAATGAAGACAGATGTTCTTCCCCGGTGTGTCTGCGGGGAGGAAAAGCTGGTCACCCCCTGAAGGCTTCCATGAGGGCAGCCATGAGGATTCTGTGTCACACAATGACCCCAGAAGGGCTGCTGAAGATCGGTGCTGCAATCCCCAGGAAAGTACTGTTGCCTGGCACAGTTACAGGCTATAATCCCAGCACTCAGGAGGCTGAGGCAGGAGGATCGCTGTGAGTTTGAGGCCAGCATAGGCTACATAGTAAGTTCCAGGTCAGTCTCAACTACGTAGTGCGACTCCGTCTCAAAAAAACAACAACAGCAAAAAGAAAAGAAAAGCATTGTTAAATTTTTTATTTTTATGGCAAACTATCAGCGGGGCAAATGTTATGAATAATAATGACACAAGAAATGACAGCCTTCATTAATGTGCACTGAAGCACTGTGGTTGCTGAGGACCTTTCCAAGCACAGATTTTGGATTTGGTCTTATCTCGCACTAGAACATGGCATAGAAAACCTTTTCTGCTGCAGCTCTCCTGTGTTCGTGATATTTCTGGTTGAACTGGCAGAGATCAAAGGAATCAGAATTAACACAAGTGGGACACGATTAATATAGTGAGAAAGTATGTATAATAATGTTGCACGGGGGGGGGGGAAGCTGTTGAGTGTGGTTTTAAGCAATTAAACACCATGCTTAGTTTCCTTTTCCTAAATAGTAAAATAAATCTTTACACAGTACCCATTTTCTCTTTATGGTAAACTCAATTTCTCCAGTTCCAGTGTAAAAAATCCAATCTCTGTGATGCTTCCCTTCCAGTGATGTACGGGGAAACATTAACAATACTTATTTCAATTTATACAGTGCCATTCTTTGCCATAACGCAATTTCATATTACCCTTCAAAGTGACTCTGCCCTGGAGAATAGGGCATTGTAAAACAAGAGGCTTTGGCTCTATTCTTGCTTTACTTTTAATTGATCTGACCTTGAAAATCTTCTTAGTCTTGTCCTCAGTTTCTTTATCTGTAGAAAAAGGGATTTGAGTGGGTTATCTATAAAAGGTTATATATAAATTTTTCCAGCTTTTAAAAAAAGAGCTCTCTCTTGTCGTGTGTTCAAATACGCCCCAAGCCTTTAGTGACCTGCTCGAGCGCGTGCATTTAGATAGAGGTGGAGAAGGAGCCAGGCCCTGCATCCCTCCCAGTTCTTCACGCTAGGCTTGATTGCTAATTACTGAGACAGAAAATCAGACCTTACTCCACCTTATTACCATATTCTCTTATTCCGGAACTAAAGAAATCTACATTCTCACTGCCATATGGGATTTTTAAGTAGCAACAAAAGGTTTTAAGTAAACAGCAATCTCAAGAGTTTTTCACTCTGGGCAGTAAATCGGGGAAGAGGGACTCCTACCCCAAGCGGCCCCCCGCTGCCCAGGGAGCCTCTATGTCTTGCGGTGCCGTTTGAGGGAACAGGACATCACTCTGCCACAGGAATACACCCTAATCATCCCTAATTCCCCAAGCACAAAGAGACAGGATAGCTCCCTAATTAAATTAATTGCATCTCATAATAATTAGACAAGTTTCTCAGAGTTTTATTGCTTCTTTATTTGTACTTAGACTAACCTCAGCTTTATGGATTTCTTAAATAAGAGTGCTTGAAGTTTCAAAGCTAAGCCTTTGCTGCAATGTGGTCCCCCTTCCTCACTGGAAGCCACGTGGGCAGGACCACATCTGGTTCTCCTCTCCGTCCTGTCACCCCGTTTCCCCATAGAACAGGCTTTGGGCAGTGCTGACTGGGAAAGGCAGTGACTGCATTGGAAACAGAGGCCGGTGTGTGTGTGGGGGCGGCTCCTTCAGGATCACTCACCCTCACTGCTTCCTGTCTCCATGCAGAGTCCAGGAGAGAAGTCTGTCCTCCTTTAGGACGCTCTCCCTTTCTCCAGCCCCGCTGTAGGAGTTGAGCTGGAGGAGAGCGCTAAGTAGTCCCGAGGTTCCTCCAGTTCGATGTTCCTAGGGAGCTCCAGGCTTTGAGAGCAACTGGAAATCCACTGAGAAAATTCATAGCATGTCTGACTTCTGTTTGCGTCCCTGGTTATTTCTTGGTGAGCTTCTGTACAGCACAGAGGAAAGCTGTCAGTAAGAGCTCCAGATTTCTATCCAGAGTCAGAATAATCAGGAACCAAACTGTACGGCTAATGACTGCAGTGACACTACCTGCTACTAAAGTTTGCAAGAAAATAGAGGTAACAGTTGTACATAAAGAGGGCTGTTCAGGGACTCTAACGGCAGTTT